ACAAAAATGGTGGAGAAATTTGGTGGAGAAGGAGAAAGATTGCAAAACATCATTAGTGAAATTGAGTGCTTTCCTTTAAAAAAAAAAAAAAAGGCACATTTGAAACAGTGTTACTGAATTCTTGGGTAGCCAAATGGAGGTAACAGCCGTTTTGGGTCAGGACTGAGTGCCTGTTAAGTGGCGCAGGGCCAGCAGGACAAGTTGATGGAGAGGGCTCCGGCTCTCTTCCTGCCGGTAGCTGTCTCCTCCACTCCTCTTAACCCCACCCCTGCGGCCTGCAGATGATCCCCGTTTGGGAACCCTCTCAGTTCTATAGCACAGGCTCAATTGGAATGGTTTGAGTGAAACCAAATCTCAGCTGAATTTGCTGCCAGAAAGCAGGATTCAGTAGTGCCCTTTCACTCAGGGTCTGGCATTAAAGCAAGCCCCAAACGCATGAGAGCAGTCAAATGCCTTGGCAAATGGCTCTCCCAGCACCTGAGGGCGCCGAGCTGGTGCCTGTCTCTGTGTGGGGGTCCACAATATGTGCGTGCGTGTGGAGGCCTTTTGCAGGCCCCTTTGATGTGCTGTCATGAATAAGTAGCAGTGACTTGCTGCCTGCCCCCCCCCCCCCCCCCCCCCCCCCAGCGCATGCCCTGCAGCTTGCGTGTCCTCGGGGACTCCACTCCTCCTGCTGCAGGCCCTTGCCTGACTACCTCCCTGAGAATCCAGGAGCATCAGGCAGCGCCCAGCCGGGCCTGGTCCATGTGCAGGCTGTGGTTAGCAGTGCTTCCGGCAGGGTTCTGCAGCAGCTAACGTGCACTTGGGCGATTTCAGAGCAAGGTATTATTTACCCTGCTGACGTCAATGAGAACATATTATCCACTGTCCTCTTCTGCAGCCTGAAATGAGCACCAGAGCTCAGGGAACACAGCCACCTTCCATACTTTAAAAAATTCCACCCAGGGCCTGATGAGGTGAAGGCCCATGTCATTCGCCTGACATTCGTATCACCCAGGCTCTTAGAAAACAAGTTGTTTTTATTTTAATTCAAGAGGGTTAGAAACATAAAAACAGTGTATTTTCCTTGCAGAAAATTACCCCATTTAAATTACCGTTTGGTACAAAGATCATTTATTAAACTGCATTTTAGGCAACTTTCTAACATTGAGTGGACAGGTTACATTTTGATTTTTCACATTGGAGCTATTATGATTTGCACTCAAAATACCAAAGCTATTGAACTCACCATTTTTTCCCTTAGTAATTAAAAAAAAAAGCACACAGAAAGAATAACTACAAGTGGATTAACTTTATCCAAAGTAATTCTTTATGGACTAAACATCCAGCATAGACCACCCTTCTCGCTTTGGAAACAAGCAAGTCCTCTTGCCCTTCCTACAAAGTGCAAATATCTCCGGATCACTTTTATTTCTTAACTTGCAGTCCCAAAGGGAAGCAAACCTCCTTTTCTCTCTGCTTCTTTTCAGAGATTTTGGTGGAGACTGATTATTTTACCATCAGTAGTGGGAAGGTATTACCACTTGAATTTCCTTGATTGAGCAAATTTGAACAGATAGGCATCTCACAGCCAGCGGCAAATCCCAGTTATCTGTATTTACTAATATAACATTATTCCAATCTGGGGTCATATTTTTCCAGGATGCTATTCTTTACTTCTATTTTCAAAGCTCCCTGCTTAACTACCCGCTCTGCCTCTGAAAAGACAGTGTTCAAAGTATATTACTTTTTTAACCCTGAAAGTGCCTAATCAGCACTTTCCCTTGATGGGCCTTAAATGTAAAACACTACACCCCTGCTCAGGACTGGGCTGAGTTTGGGTTCTTCTCTGAGTAGCCGCCTCTCTCTGGGTTGCATCTGTTGGCCTGCAGCGGTGGGCTGAGCAGTGCAGTCTGGCCCCTTGGCAATCATAGACTTCTGTAGGAAATTACTATATTGTGTAACTTGGAAAAACTAGGCATCTTTAGTGTGAACCTAAACTTGTGTTGTTAACGGGACCCTGGAAGGATGGCAGTGTGGGGCCTGTCTCCCTCAGCCTTGTTCATGGAGGGCCACCTGAACACCTGCACTTGTCACCTGGAGAGCACCTTTCCCTCAAAGCCAGACAGCTGTCAAATGGAGAATAAGGTTGAGGGGACAGTGTCACACGCACCCAGTGCTTAACCAAGATGGGGGGTTTGTACATACAGCTGTTTGCTCGAGAAAAGAGTCCACTGCTACTGACCAGGGGAAAGAGCAGAATGAGAAGCCGGAAAACCCAAGAGCTTGGCGTGGTTCCTCCCTCACAAGCTGTGCCCTCAGACAAGTCACACAAGCTTCCGAGAGCTTTGGTCTCCTCAGTGGAGGACTGTATCTGCCCAACTAATTTCAGAGAATTGCTGTGAGGATTAGAAGAGATTGTGAAAGTGCTTGGCAAATGAATGTACAAATATAAGCGGTTCCTCCTTTGGATGGGCGAGCTGAATGTGGGCAGGAACCATCACAAGCAGCACCGGCTAAGTCTGCAGGCAGTGCTGCTGTTGTTTCTCAATCTAAGCGGTTGTATGAGCCAGTTCTGCCAAATGTGTCAAAATTTACCCACACGAGATATGGACAGAAGATGGTGACGCAACGAGGGTGGCTGTCAATCGTCTGGGATCAGCCAGGCTACCATAATGGGGGGAAATGATAAGACGAGTTATGAAAGGGGCACTGTGAGACCAGAGACTCGGGCTAAAGGTGCCCGGAAGGTCTGCCCTAGTTCATCTCGCTGCTTGCCTTCCGGGGGCCGCGGGCCGAGAAGCAGAAGCCCTGTAATCAGTCCCCTCCCTGGGACCACAGGCCGGGAGGACTGTCCTACTGGACCTGTCAGAAGGGACACATGAATTGGAAACATTTTTGGGGTCGTTTAGAAACAGAGGCAGATGATACTGCTCGTCTTCCACACACCACTCCCAAGATAAGCTCTAAAAATTTCCCGAAGCAACACAATGATCAAAGATCCCTGCCTATGCAGTGACTCCAACTTACTACCTGTTCTCCAGTTTTTACCTTCGATGTCTAGGCACAAAGACAGCGACCGGCTCGGGTGGCTTCCAAGGAGGCAGGAGAGGCAGCCCGGCTTAGGGGTGCAGCCGCAGCCAAGGTCAGCCCCGCACAGCACAGGGATGCCACACCGGTCACTGGGACCAATGTTGTCAAATGGTACTGAGCGTTGTCTCTAGAGGAGGAATGTGAAAGCGATCTGGAGGGTGAATTTTCTTTAAAGCAATGGGAACTTGAGTATAACTGTTGATGGAGGGGTTTAAACGAAACTGAGCTGAGAATTCTGACCCCAACATAGAACCCAATAGTTAAGGACCCGGGGCTTGATTAGAGATTGGAAGCCCTCAGAGAAAGCCACTCATTTCATTATGTCCACACGTCTGGAAGCCTCACACAACCAGAGGCTGCTCTAGTCGCTGTATACGTGGGTCCTGGACCAGCTAGACGGGAAGCTGCTGCTTTTTCTGCTCTGCACTTTCTGGTTGGCCACCCCGTCCCATTCTAGCTGAGAACATGCCCTTCTTTCCAACTCCAGCAATTAGGTGGCATTCTCTTCTCTAGCAGGAGTCCCCCCTTTTAGGCACTGATGACAGTGGGGGCAGAGTGGGAGAGGCCAGGGCCGTGATGAGTCCCTCCTGCAGAGGCCCCTCGTTGGCTGGAGGGCGCGACTCCCAGCGGCTGGTCCCCCCTCCCTGTAAGGACACGGGGCCCATTTCTCTGGGACCTCTGAGGTGAGGGCTGACCTTAGTCCTGATCCCAGGCTCCTGCCAGTCCCGCCTGACCAGCTCAGGACACAGCTTAAACACTTGGGGTTCTTCATTTCTGAGGAAGGAAGGGACTCCGACTTTTGTTCATATCAGAACAGAGTCCTTTAGCCCCATTTCCTGGTCCTCCTCGGTGGGCCCCAGATGTTTCCCATTATGTGATATTACAGGGTGGCTGGTGCAGGGACCCTTCTGCCCCCTTCTCTGTTCCCAAGGTAGCAACGCAGGCCTGGGAGGGGCGGAGGTGGCGAGGGGGCGGCTGGGGATGGTCAGTGCAGCTCACCAGTAGTTTTAAAATGGAACACCCACCCTCTTTATGTTGTGTTAACATGCTCTCTTCGCGTTACAGGGACCAGCATATCAGTTGCGTGTAAATACTAGAGACACGCTTGCCCAACTGGAAATTGCAGAACAAGTGCATTTTTCCCAAAGTAGAGACTAATACCCCTGGATTAAAAAAAAGAACATAAACAAAAAATAAAGTACCACACATATTGCACTTTTTGTCAAGTGAAATCTTTACCTCACGTTCATCTCACCAAAGTCTCTTCAGAGGAGCCTGGTTTACATGATAATAAAGCTAATGATTATTATACAGTAGTGTACACACTGCTAACGTGAAACAGACTGGAAAGTCATTATTTCAAAGTAGCCTCTCATAAAAGAGTGGTATTAAGCCTTCTTAGTGTTAGTGTTTGTAAAGAGAAAACTGCTTGGAAGCTTCCATAGGTCACAGGTCAGGGGACAGAGCAATGGAGGTGATCAGACCGGGCTGGGAAAGCACCTGCCTGACCACAGAATGGGTCTCCTCTCGCCAGCTTACATTTCAGTAAATACAGACGGTTATGGAATTAATTGATTTCTGCTTGAAATAAATGAGAACAGCAAACAGGAGCTTACAACACAGGTGAGCAGGACAGGGCTGCTGTTCGCCAGGTGAGTGCTGTGCCCCAGGTGTGCTGTTTCCTAACAGCCCTGTCACCGCCGGGTGCCTCCCGATGTCTAGCTCAGCCCTCTCACTTCCAACAGTCTCTGCTCTCCCTCATCTGTGGACCTACGCGTCTGGCCATTGCTCCTGGGTTTCCCCGGCGGAGCAGCTCATGGCCTTGCTGGGGGCAGGTGTTTATGTCAGTCTGTAACTGTGCCATTCCTGTGACTCTGAAATGACCGGCCCCCATTTTCAATCTGGAAGGCATGTTAATTTCATAAATATTACAGCACTTTGATAGTTTATTTTGGGAACATATCCTTTAGTCTAATCAAATCAAGCCCTGTGCCTTGCAAAGACTTAAAACAGATCATAGATCTTAATGAAAGGATCTCTTAAATGAAATGATGTTATCTATTTCACGAAATCATCAATCTTAAGCACGAGGAGGAATAAACAATCCATAGAAGGAACATAATTCACTCTTCCTGGGTTTTCACTGTGTGTTGTTAACTCACAAAAACAACAGCCCTCCACGCCACTCCGAGTCCAGCCCCACACACAGCCCCTGCGAAGGGTCTGGCACCAAGCAGAGCCAGCAAAAAGTGACCAACGATGCTAGGGGCTGGGCAGGGGGTGCAGGGCACAGCTCCTCAGACCTTCCATGCTTCTCCTCACCGCCTGGACACTTACTACAAAGAGGAAAGGCAACTTAAAGGTGTTTCTAGATGCAGCATCAATGTAGTATTTCTCTTCTTTGTGCTTTAAGGAAGATGCTTTGTGCTTAACGCATTCATTCACCTGCTGATAGGACAAGCCATTCTAAAGGACAGAAATGACAGTCTTTGTAAATAATACTGAATTTGTAACACTTGGATGTTATTGTCCAAATGACAGATTACTCATTACTTCTAGGTATACAGTTAACTAGCTGTAGCATCTACTTTTTACTTACTTTGATGAATGAATTATAAGGGTTAAGTTTTACTAGTAATATAATGTGTTTGACAGATGATCTGCTTAAATGGTTAACACATCTGTGGTTTCTGAATATTGCTGTAATACTTGAAGATTTCATTACAAGTCAAAACTTTAAGGAAATTAAGACTGCGATTCCCACATGGTGGAAAACAAACTCTGAAGTGACTTTGGATTTAGCATTGACATAAATGGAAAACTGTTGGTTTCTACAGAAAAGAAATAATTAAAGCATGATCTGGGGGGCGAGGAAAAGGCACAGCACTACCACTTCACATGGGAGATAAAAATTCATTTTGCTTGTTCTTAAAACTTCTAAGCCCTATATGAAACTGTCCAAATATACAAAGCTCAATAAACTACTAGCAACATATAGTGTAAAGTCAAAGTAGTTATTACATTTTAAAAGAGACGCTGGGTTAAGACCGACCGCCCCGAGCCAGAAGTGTCCACAACAGACTGCGGGAAGAGCCCGCCATCCCCTGGCCCAGGGCTGGTGCTCGGGATGCTTTCTCGAGTTTCTCACCCCCCAGTCTCCACTCCGGTGCATCGCCTGTCAGTTCTACGGGCAACATCTTTGGAGTCCTGAATACACGCTGACTCTGTAACCTGGGTAACCCAGGGCGCCTTCTGAAGAGCTGTGTTGCGGGCTCCCAGATGGAGACGACTGCCAGTCTCAGGGATCAGTAGCAGCTGTTACTTTGTGGCCCCTGAAACAAAGCTCACGCTCCACTGCTTGGTGATGGTCATGGAAACAACTTGCATGAGCAGCTTAGAACTTCCTCTTCAACAACAAGGTACAACTTTCCTTTATTTCCTGTGCATCAAATTTCATTATGCATTCCAGATTTGCCTTTAAGCAACATGCTGTGGCTTGGCTTCAGTGAAAAATATTGCCTTTTTCTGTCCCCCACATATAATGGCACGCATTTCCTGCTTTCACCAAGGGTTCCCTTGATAATGAATTGGTGTGATTCTGCATAAAACCTAGGTCTGGATGTTGTCTTCTTATAAAAACATTTGTTGGTGTCTCCCATGAGAGTTTGCTTCACTTGACCTAAGGGCATGAACTTCAGCCTACAACTATGTTCCAGCACTTGCCACAGAAAACTGTGGCGGGACAGAGCCAGGAAGAAGCGATATCCACCCGGCCAGGCCCTCTGATTCCAGTTGGGCAACTTGGTATTTCCCCCTTGGGGAGAGGGCAGAAAAATAGGCTTTAAATGTAAAAGGCTGGAATAAAAATAAAAACACACTCTTCCTTCACTTGACCTGCCTCACTTCCTGTGGTTAATTCACCAGGACATAGCCATTGTGCTGGGGGTCCACAGCCTCCAGCATTTCACAATCAAAGAGTCCAGGGAACTCAGAGAGGGCTAGAGGGTCGTAGTTGGAGGGGGCCTCCTGCAGTGCTGAGCTCCTGGGACAGTCTGGTGCGGCTATGCCACTCTGCTGGGTTCCGTCCATAGGGTACTGACAGGGAGTGGGGTAGTCTGGCTCAGGGGAGGCCGTGCCAGGCAGCTCACAAGTCTGATAGGAGAACTGCAAGGGCGCTGGGGCAGCTCCTGACGGTTGTGGCGGGGGCGGCTGCTGCAAGTGTGCCTGGGGGCCTGGCGAGGAGGGCAGGGGCTGCAGCTGCATGTCCTGGTACTGGCTGACGAAGGGGCTGTACTGCATTTGCTCAGAAGCAGGCTCCAGGACGGGGCTCAGGGGCTGGGTCAGGCTGAAGGGCGCTGGCTGCTGTGATGGTGGTGGTGTCTCCTGGTGGGGAAGGGACAGCTGCTGACTCGGCTGTGAGTATGAGCTCTCTGCTATCTGCATCTGATTGAAATAGGCCTGCAGCTGAGACTGTTTCTGGAGGAAGAGCCGCTTCTGTTGGAGTCTAAATTGGCAAAACCAAAAGAATTATAAATCTTTGATGGCAATTTTAATGTAAATCCAGTATCATTCATTAGCTTCAGTCCCCTTACTTCTCTCTTTCCATGGGGCGTAGGTACAAATGGTGTCTGCTTCCTTAAACCTAATCTTATTTTTCGTCCCCTAGTTCTGACTGATCCCTTAGTGCCCAAGTGAACACTAACTCATTTTCTCTAAGATTCTTACATTTTTCTCCCTATGAAGCGAGAGGGTGATTTCCCATCCAGAGTGTTTCGAATGGGGGTGAGGTGGGGGTAAGACCTTGGCCTCTAAGGGTGTCTGTAGGTTAACGGACTAGGTGATTCTACCTTGGCCAAGTTGCTTCTAGTGAGGCCCGGGGGCGCGAATGAGAGCAGGGAAGATGGAGGCCTTTCCTGCAGTACAACCCGCTTCAACTGCGTTAGGTCACGGATTCTGAAAGCTTAGGTCTATTCATAAGTCAGAGGGGAAATGCGAGAAGAAAAGGTAAACAAAGCACATTTAGGGCTGCTAGTCCGGACAGGCCCATATTCCATGGACACTGGAATATCTGCATTAGCGATCATGAATTGAAGACTGGCTCATGCATCAAAAATCTACTTTCCTAACAGAGGCAAACCCCTGGGGCGAAAGGACATTACCCAGCATTCTTAAGTCTCCCACAAAAGCAAGTGACTTCTTTGGCCAAAGACCTTCTCTCACCTGTGTTCCTGCAGCTGCTGTTCAAGGCTCCGCGGTGGTTCTTTACAATAAAGCTGACAAGTGTTCTGGGCTTTCGACAGAAGGCTGGGCTTCTGCAAGGGCAGAACAACAATATAAGCATGACAATGTGTTGTTATCTAAGATGCAGCCATCAGACTGTACCTCTGCCTGGAGGATGAAGCCAAGTGTGGCCTCCAGAGTTCAGGCAGGGTGAAGGGACTGGACTTGCTCACTGAGACCCTGGGAGGGCCCTGGGGCACTGGGTCAGCAGGCCTGGGCTGTCTCAGCTCTAACCCACTTCAGTTTTCCATTTCTAAAAGTCCCCTAGCACTGTGACGTCATGGAGATTAAAAATAATGAGAAAGGTGGGGTTAAATCTTGGTAGCAAAGGCTGCAGCACCTGCTTCTCTATGGCGTATCATTTTCTAACAGGTTTTCAGGCACCAGTGCAGAGAGCTGATATTTCCTTTTCCTACCATTCAGTGGTGTTACCCCTTCCTGGGGCCTGAGGACCAATCCCTCTTCTAACACAGAGCATAATGCTAAGTCTGTACATGTTTCTAGAAACTAAAAGTCTAGTCAAACCTACCCGCCTATAAGAAATTAGGCAACTACCCTAAAACAAACAAACAAAGGAACCCCCAAGAAGCCCAAACCAAGCAAAACAGGCTAGTGCTGTGCAGAAAGGCCGATTCTGGTGGCACACAGGGAGCCGGGGCAGCAGCGGGCAGGGTCCCACCTGGAGTCTGTGCTGCAGGAACTGGGCTTCCAGGCTCTGCCGCGGGGGCAGCTGCGGGCGTGCACCGCTGGGGAGGGCAGGGTTTTTCTGCTGCTGAGAAACTTCCTCCTAAGGAGCAAGAGGGTGAAACATTTTCAATTCTCCTTGTGGGAGAAAGTTTCAGTTCTGAGTTTCAGCACCTTGGCAAATGTCCAAGAGGAATTCCTACCCGGGACGCGTAGCGCTCAAAGCTTTTTACATTACTAGTAGGCTGAGGGTTAATCACTGGGCAGAAAAGCTACTCATGTGTTATCTGTGGTAAACGATTACCAAGTCAGTACTAGAGCAAAGGCTCTTTATGTCACCAGAAGGCCATTACCTTCATGTAGGCCTCAAATGCTGTAATATCCTTGATGCCCTAAAAATAGGCTCAAAATAAAATTTATTGGTAAACAGCAATATTTTTTGTATCTTTAGCACAAACAATCCACTTATAATATTTCATGAAGTGACAGCACATTAAAAGCAGTGACAACAATCTTCTCATTTGGGTAAAGTTTATTCTTAATTTTTGTGTGCTTGCACAGGGGAGGGGAGTTCAAAGGAGGCAAGAAGAGGTAATCCATGTAAAATCCACCCCGTGAAGCAAACTTAGTTTGCCAGTGTCCAGGCCTCCATGTGGTACTGATCACCTGGGGCCTGTGTGGACAGGTCTAACCTTTCAGCAGCAGGTGGCAGCAACCAAGAAAGCTTTCCAAAAGAACCTGTTTGCTCCAGGACTGGACTAAATCCTCTAAATGAAATGACACATCTTCAGGACAAACTTGCGCCTCATACTCACAGAGCTACTGCGGGAAGGGCCCGGAGCACTCACCTGAGGGCAACTGCTAGCAAGGTCTTGGAGCTGAGGAGCAGCTGACGCCAAGTTAGCATCTGCCTCTGGGCCGATCTGTTCATACAGCAACTGCACTTTGTTCAGCTCTAGGATTCCTTTGGTTCTAGCCAGATTCTGAAGATGCTGTCTAAATGCTACAATTCCTGGGAGAAAGTACAATGACCAATCAGTTTAAACAAAACACAAGGCCTTTAAGTGACCATAGGTAGGATACCAGCAGGGCAACAAGCCCCCTCAGGTCCCACCAGGTAAGAGTCTTAAAAGCCAGAAGGGCAAGCAGGTGGTCACCTTGGGTGAGGGAGGTATCCGATGCCCTGCGGCCCTCTCTGAAGCTCACTGGTGACCTGTTGTGGGCCTCTCGTTTCTGGGAGCTCAGAGCCTGCATGGCTGGGTTGGCAGGCCTCAGGCTTATGAAGGGAGAGGTCACGCGCGGTGAGGGCTGGTTGGCTAACATGATGTCCTTAAGGGAAGGGTTGTCCTCCAGAAAGTTCAGGTCCCTCTGAACAGACCCCATGTCATACTCAGAATCCACGCTGTCAAGGGAGGGGTTGTCACTCACGGAGAAAACTTTCCCTGTTAGAGAAAACAAAACAGATATGACCAACAGCAAAGAGCGTCTTCTTTGCACACGAGAGACAAAGCGTAGCCGGCTTGAGTTCTCACAGCTACAACGTCCTTAATCCAACAAAACCATCTCAGAACCTTTTTACATGTCAATTTAATCAGCTTCATATGTAGTGGGGAATACTCCAGACCTCTACTCCTCAGATCTCTGCCCCTCCAAAACAGCCAGGGCCCTTGAGGAATCACAGCACTCGGATGAATTCTGGGAGTTAGAGGAGCCAACTCAGACATTTCATTTCCATCTTTGCAGCTGCTGAGCAGGCCTAACCCTTCGGCCTGCTGACTGTGGTCCATAAGGAGAAAGACAGGCCACATTCTAGGAATTGGTCGGTACCATTATTCTTTCTGGAAGGTTGGAGTACAAGCTGATGCTGTGAAGACTTAACCTGGCGCTCGCTGGATGTCATACCTGAACCAGGCATCATGACCAGCTGATTGGTCACTTCTGACAGAGTGTGCCGTCTCTGCCCACTGCGTGTGGACTGGAAGGCGTCAAAGCTCTGACTGGGGTCTTCCTCGGCCTCTCCTTCCGTCTCTAGCCCTTCATCAATGGAGGTCTCCATCATGTTGCTGGGCAGTGACTGGCACCCCTTCCTCGCCAACACAGGCGGCACAGGGTCCAGCAGACAGCCATTTACCTAAACATCAGGGTGAGAGGGAACTATCAGTTGCTACTCTCCTGAGACATTAGAAAAATCCACATGGAAAAATGTCAATGCTTGTGGCAAATTAGAAATTAAGTAAAATGTTAAAAATGTACATGTTTCTTACTAACGACAACATGTAGATCAGAAGTTAAGGCAAGTCAACTGCAGCACTTGGAGACAGAAGCCCATTGTGACCCAAACTGGCACTGCCTCCCGGGTTTCTCTGAGTCATCATTATTACAATAAACAGATTTTTTTAGTGGTTTCCAGATGAACAGGGGTATATTAGGTTGAGGCCTACTACTTATTTTGTTTTAAATAAGGGAAGTGAAGAGGGGGAGATAAAACAAAAACCAAAAAAACCCTGCATGGCTCATAGCTAAGAAAAAAGAGTAGTCACCAGCATTCATCTCGTTTTCAACCACAAAACACACTGTAAGGTTCTAGACATACTTTTGTATTTATAATTTAAGTACCTGCCCATTTGACTTAGTGTTTAATTGGTTCTATGTGCCTGAAGAATGGAAAAAAGAATAAAGACAGACAGATACCACAAAAACGATTGAAAAAAATTCAAATGGCAAACAGCCAAAGCCTTCCCTTATAGGATAACAAATGAGTCACAGGCCCCGGATTCCAGCAGAGGTTAATGAGCACTGGTGCACTGACTCCTGTCCTGCAGTGATATAGACACTGTCTACAGTTCCTACTTCGCAGGGATGAGCTCAGCACAGCTCCTGAGTGAGAACTCTGCCTTCTGAGGCAGCTGCCACACAAACCACCTAATGGCAGCAGAAAGAGCAGACAAAGGGGAGCTGTGGTTTCGAGTTCTTCTGGCGGCTAAAAGCCCCAATGAGGGGGCAATTATTTACCTCATTACCTTAACTATTCCCCTGTGGAAGTCAATCTGTTTTCTCCTATGAACGGCTGCTCAGGGCCGGCCAGTCATAAGACGCTGAGTTCTAAGCAGCACTTTCACCTGGATACACTGGGTACAGCTATTGTTTCTTTTGGAAGCAGGCGAAGCTCATGTGTGTGAGAGGTGACGTGGGACATCCCTGTGCCAGACACAGGAAACTTTCCTCTTATGGCAACCAATCTGAAGGCGCTGCAAGGCCCTTTATTTGGAGAGGGAGACTTGGGTGACTCAGATCTTTGTTTGCTTGGGGGAGGGGACGGTGATTCCATGAAATCTGTTCTGGGGCTGCAGCCATTACTTGGATAACGTGGCTAATGCATTACAGAGTTTTAAAGTGAGGGTGGTCATTTAAAAGGAAGAGTGGTAATGCTTTCTTCCCAGACTAAGACCAATCTTCTCCATGGCACCAGAAAACAAAAACTCTGAAGTCTGGTCAGCAACTCTTATCTTCCCCTAGGCCCTTCCCCTTATAAGTTTTTCTTTTTTTGACTACACTTCTCAGTTTTCTTGTAGGAAAGAATGGCTGGCTGCTTGGAAACTTATATTTATACCTCTAGGTTCCTTAACTGTCTACTAATACAATTTTCTAAGACTGCCAAGGATGATTTAGAAATGAATAAAGCAACAAAGAAAAGAATGTTATTAAGTAATTTCCTATCTTCACACTTACAGCCTCTGTCAAATATCAGATATTTATCAGCCTTTATCAGATATTTCTTGTAGTATAGTCTTACAAGGTCCTTTTATCCTTAACAGAAAAAGTTACCTTTTTCTGAGTACCCAAAAAACCTTACAGTCCCTCTAAATTTATAATTTTTCCCCCTCAAATTGTCTGCTTATAAATTTATCTCCTCATCTAGACTACAAGAGGAATTATGTACTTTTTTTTTTAATGTTTGCTGAACTCAATTTTATCCTGGGACAGGTTGAAACAATGACTGTTTTTCAGATGATGTTTGATGATTAAATCGGAAAGCACGGTGGGGCCCGCTCATAGGTGTGAACATCTTCAGCTATAATTTCATTTCCTGCAACAGGTGGTAATCATGCTACTCTTGCCTGTCAATTTACTACCCAGGGACTTGATATAACAAGAGCCTAAATTCAGTTGTAGGATTTTGTGACCAAAGTATTGGGCTGATCTACCTAGGCTGCTAGAAATAAGATCTTTTGCTCTAGGAAATAATCTAGGCTAACTGTAAATTACAGGAATTCAAAATATAACATGGGTGAAATGTACATTTTCTAATACATTGTTTTTGTCTTTCCTTAAAGTTCAATCTCACTTCACTTCAAGTAAAAGTCTTCATATACATGTAGCAGTCAAACTTTGAGAGGCTGCCATTAACTGGTATCATATCCCTGAGTGTACCACAAATACAACATTGTAGCACGGGAGATTGGTAGACTATTATGGACTGAATGTTTGTGTCTCCCCCTAACCTTGAGTGTGGCTGGATTTGGGAATGGGCCCTCTATGGAAGTGTAGTTAAATGAGGTCGTAAGGGTGAGGCCCTGATCTGGCAGGACTAGTATCCTTATAAGAAGAGACACAAGAAAGTGCTCACTACACACGAGCACAGGGGAAAGGCCACAGAAGGACACAGTGAGAAGGTTGTCCCCTCCAAGCCAGGAAGAGAGCCCTCACCAGAAATCAAATCACCCAGAGCCTTGATCTTAGACTTCTACCTAAAGTTGTTAGAAAATACATTTCTGTTGTTTAAGCCATCCAGCCTGTGGTATTTTGTTATGGCAGCCCTAGTAGACCAATACACAATACTAGCCAGTTGAGTTTGGAGGCTGGGAATGTGCCTTATTTAATTTGTATCCTAAGTGCCTAGCAAGTTTGGCATATATTGAGGAGGTGCTGTAGGCTCAAACCTCAGCTCTATCACTTATTAGCAAGTTGCTTAACTTCTATAAAGTTCAATTTTTTTTCACTTGTAAAATGGAAGTCAAGTTGTTTGAAAAGATTAACTAAAATAACATATATAAAATAGCACAGTACCTTAGGTACTCAATATACTGGGGTGCCAAAAAATGTATACACATGACTTATATTCATCTTTGTTATTGGTATATATTGAGTATTACAATTTTAATATAATTTTTTTCCCGTTCTTAAAATGTATATACATTTTATACACCCTCTGTATTGTATCTATTATTATTACTATTATTTCTTGACCAAAGAGAATGCTTTATAACAGTAAAACATTTTAAAGCATGAAAATAAAACTATAACATTTTCTTTTAAAGAATTTTTATGATCTTGAGGCAACTTAAAATAAACAACCAGGTGAGGAAGGAAAGAACTGGACAACCCTAGTTCTATAAATTTCTCCGAACACAATAATCAGAAGTATAGTCAAAGATTTAGACACAAGGACATTCACCTGAAGCACATATGAGGATGCAAAAATTTTAAGTACCTGATGTTCAAAAACAGGAGAGCAGATAGTTAAATAAGCCTATACCTAATACAATATATTAGGCAGTTGTTAAATATAACTCATGCTTTCAAAGATTTCATGATACAGAAAAAAGCTCGTTATATTATGTGAAGCAAGATACAAAGTGACGTACAACAGAATATAATTTTGTTTTAAAAGCCTATGTACTTACTGACCCGCCACCCTATACGCACCCCCCCCCACCCTCCTATCTACAGTCCACTCTCAGGAAATAGGCCCAAATATGCTTATCTTTGGGGTAGTGGAATTATGGATAAATAATATTTTTTCTTCACTCATCTCTGAATTTTCCATGTGTGGTTCTGATTGGTTTTACTTTTTTTCAATTATAAATTTAAAAATTCAAATTCAGAAATAAAGGTATGTTCCCTTTACAAAGCCTTAGAGGTTAACACTATTCAGTTTGCTGTACGGCCTTTTCAGACCTTCTCCTATATGTTGTAGTACCTCTATAATAATGAAAGTTATTAAAAATATAAACACCCTTGTTATACTTTCCTTTTCACAGTTTAGCCGCACAGTTCCCTTCTGCTATCCAGCTACGAAGGTGGTAACTTGAAAAAATCCAGTTACTATAATCTTTAACAAAATGTTAAAAGTGACTGAAGTGTGTATGTGTATAAAAAATTCAAGATTCCCAAAGAAACCCTCAAAAGAGAAAGGTTTGTGCACCTGTCCTCCATATGGTCTCTCTGTCACCTGGGGGGGTCTCAATTATCGCTCAGAACTGGATGACTATCTCAGAAAGGTGCTTTTTTGGAGGAATCCCAAGCCAGTATTTCTATACAACCCCCGCCCCCCAAGGGATCTGACTGACAGTTTTAAGTTGAAGACTTCTTGGAGGGAAAGAGAGGTGAGAGCTCTGAGATGCACAAGACCTACCACCAACTGAGAGTAGAAATGAATGAGCAATACGTGCAGTTATGAAACATCTTCCAGAAGACAACAATGGGTGCTTATAGTAGCAAATATACATGAAGCAGCAGGAACAACAAACGAATATTATCTCTGTCTGATCGTTTTGTGTGTGTGTGTGTATTTATAGGCTCCAAAGAAAGAGGTACTAACTAGGGAAGGAAAAGGGACAAGTATTTTTGCTGACATAAATGAAATGATCCATGAGTAAGACAGCGGATGTCTAAAGCCTGGCTAAGTGCCACAGTGGCACTGCCAGTGTGGGTGGCCAGTTCCAGCGTGGCACGGCTCTTCCTACAAATGCAAATGCATCATCTAGCTACTATCTATATCTTTCACAAAATCATTCATTTCCTGTCTGTTTCCTAGTTACGGTAACAATCACAAGCTTTAAAAATAACTTGCCCTATATAATACAGCAGACAGCGCCCAATCTGTGTTTCGGGCCTGATGCCCTCACAGACAAGATTTTAGCAGCCTGCATTTTAATTTTTTCAAGGGACTTAGATCTTAAAAATAAGTGAATTATGGTGTTCCAATTTATGTCTAAATTTCTGGGTGAGGATGTAGTAGCCATTTATGAGGTTACTGAACATGCCAGGCAACCACAGGCAGAGAAAAAAAGCCTGTCCACAAGAAGTGGCGTCCTCAGGGGCATGGACACTAACCCCTTGTGGTTGGCAACTCAGCTCAACACCTGTTTGTGGCAACCCAGCATCAAGCTGCCATGACTGCACTCTAGCTGAATTCATTATTTAACTTCTTAACCAGCTCCACCTCCAGAACTCCCAATTTCTAATGGCACTCACCCTCCCCATCATCTAGGCTCAAAATACTGTTATCACTTTGGACTTCTCTTTGGATCCCAATATTCCATCATTTTTTTCTGTACAAGCTCATTTACATCATTCCCTCCTCTCCAGTTTCATGGGCACTATCCTAGTTTAGGCCCTCAGTGTCTCCCCCGTTGGACACATGGTCTGACCTTCCATTGTCCTTGTCACCAGTCTCTCCTCTATCCAATGCAGTTTATGTACCCTTCCTGACTAATTTCTGAACTACAACATGGATCACAGTGCTTCTTTGATCAAAAATTTTCAATTGTTTCCTACTACCTTGGAGAAGCCTATTTGAAAGAACTATCTTGATGATACTGAAACACATTCCCATGCGGAGAACCCTGGCCTGGAGAACAAGCCTACAGTCCTTGGCTTGCCATTCACAGCTAAGCTATACATCTTTAATTCGTACTACTCCCCTTCACACCCTCTTTCCTCAGACACACTGAGCTACTGCTCTTAGAGGGACCTAGGCTTTCCTGATGTTTGCTGTTCCTCAGGCTTTTCCCTCCACCGAGGTATCACATCCTAGTTTCCATCTACCCAGATTCTGCCCACATCTCAATTCCTAGCTCTGACAGTTAACCCAAAGACTTTCCTAATCAGACCAGCTAAAAGCAACTCACCTCTTGCCTCTTTCCAGTCTCACAGCACTCTGATTTGTATTTCTTTAAAGGATCAATTATTTTATACACCAATAATGAACACTCAGAAGAAGAAAATTAAGAAAACAATCCCATTTACAATTGCATCAAAAAGCATAAAACACTTAGGAATAAATTTGACCAAAGATATGAAAGATTTGTACTCTGAAAGCTATAAGACACTACAGAAAGAAATTGCAGAGGATATAAATAAATGGATGGATATACCATGCTCATGGACTGGAATGATTAATATTGTTAAAATGTCCATAATACATAAAGCAATATACAAATTAAATACAATATCCATTAAAATACAAATGACATTCTTCTCAGAACTAGAATAGCTAATCATAAAATTTATATGGGCCACAAAAGACCCCACATAGTTAAAGAAACCTTGAGAAAGAACAAAGTGGGAGGTACCAAGCTCCCTGATTTCAAAATATACTACAAAGCTACAATAATCAAAACAGTGTGGTACTGGCATACAAACAGATACATAGATCAATGGAATACAGTAGCCCCCAAATAAATCCTCAATTACATGGTCAATTAATCTATGACAAAGGAGGTAAAGATACACAATGGGGTAAAGACAGTCTCTTCAATAAGTGGTGCTGGGAAAACTGGACAGATACATGTAAAAAAATGAAATTGGACCACTTTCTTACACTATACACAAAAGTACACTCAAAATGGATTAAAGATTTAAATGTAAAACCTGAAACCATAAAACTTCTAGAAGAAAACATAGGCAGTCTTGGCACTATCTTTTTGGATATATCTCCTTGGGCAAGGACAACAAAAGAGAAACTAAACAAATGGGACAACATCAAATTAAAAAGTTTCTGCAACAGTGAAGGAAACCACCAACAAAATGAAAAGACAACCTACCTAATGGTATTAAGATGTTCGCAAATGATATATCCATAAGGGTTAATATCCAAAATATACAAGGAACTCATACAGCTTAAGATCCAAAAAACAAACAATCCAATTAAAAAATGGGCAGAGGACCTGAACAGACTTTTGTCCAAAGGAGACATAGAGATGGCCAACAGGCATGAAAAGATGCTCAACATTGTCAATCATCAGGGAAATGCAAATTAAAACCACAATGAGATATCATCTCACACCTGTCAGAATGGCTATCATCAATAAATCAACAAAAAACGAGAGTTGGCAAGAATGTGGAGAAAAGGGAACCCTAGTGCACTGTTGGTGGGATTGTAAACTGGTGCAGCCACTATGGAAAACAGTATGGAAATTCCTCAAAAAATTAAAGAGAGCTGCCGACTGACTCAGAAATATCACTTCTGGGTATTTATCCGAAGAAAACCAAAACACTAATTCGAAAAGATATATGGGGCCGGTCGGGTGGCGTGATGGTTAAGAACTGGCTTGGGATGCCAGAGG